CTCCAGCCTGTCCAGGTCCCTCTGGATGGCAGCACAGCCCTCCRGAGTGTCGGCCACTCCACCCAGCTTGGTGTCATCTGCAAACTTGCTCAGGGTGCATTCTGTGCCCTCGTCCAGGTCATTGATAAACAAGTTGAACAGCACTGGGCCCAGCACTGACCCCTGGGGGACACCACTGGCCACAGGCCTCCAACTGGACTTGGCCCCATTTATGACCACCCTCTGAGCTCTGCCATCCAGCCATACAGACTTGGTGTGATCTTTTGCTTCTACCATGTTAAAAGCCACAGCATAAAGTAGCTAGAATATAACAATAAACTCTAGGAACAGTCATTTTCAGGTATTGCTTCAAGTCTGTGATAAAATATCTTCTACAGGATCACTCTCTTGATAATATTTTTAGCTACATACCTGTAAATTAAATGTAACATCACGTAGTTTAATCAAAAGGTCAAATGCCAGGACTTTCACTTCTTCAAAAGTACTGGCCAAACACTGCAGCAAAGTTTGGACACGGGCAGAATCAATTTCTTGAGTCAACTGAAAAACTTGGGTCTGACCTATTCAAAGAAATCAATGCCTCAAATAATTCTGCTGTATCTTTTTCAAAATAAGCATTGTACTTACATATTACATACAAAAACAGAAATCTTCAACCAGGGCTAAAGCACTATTTTAATACTCATACATGTATCTCTAACACTTTTTTTTGTACCACCATGCCACCACATACAGACTCGCAGTAATACAAGATCAAAAAGCACATATGCATTCTACCTGCATTAAATTCAGCACTGAAGATAATCATAATTTTAACTTAAGTTCCTGTCCTGGAACAACATCATATTAGAAAATAATTCCTTTTTAAGAAGATTTTAAACTTCAGTGCCATTTTTGGTCAGTTCTTATGGTTGTATCATTTTGAAATACATATGCAATAAGTTAGAACAACAGAATGAAATGAATATACCAAATATTAAAACTTGTCCAAAAACATGACTTTGTAATAAAAAATGATTCAAATTTAAAAAAAAAAAAAAAATGACTCTAGGCAAGAAGATTCCTATTTAGGAAGGCTATATTAAACAGGTCATAAATATAAATTTCATTTTTGAAATTACTGTATAAAAATGTCATTTTTGATTAGAATCTTCTCTATGAAATAGATAATATGCAAGTGACAGAGCAAACCTCAGAAACCACAGAAAAATGAAGTATTAAGAAAACTGTTTTAGTCTTTGCCAAAGTCTAACTAATTGGCATAAAAAAACTCTCCTCGCTATCTCCTACTTCTCTAACCTATCAATGGGATCTCTCACCTTTTTGAACAGAAAATACTTCTGCTATTGATCCCAAAATAGTTAATGTAGAAAATCTGGTTGCATGGGATGAACCAGGAAACAGCGCTTCAAAAAGTCTGTCACATAGRGATGACATAAAAACCTGAAGATAATAAAAGATAGATTAAAACAGCTGGTCTGCTACCCTACAAATAACACGTTTTAGAAATTTAAAGCAGACTATCCTGAATTCAAGTGCTACACAGCAAAATTATGATTTTGTAATTCATTTTGGAACAACTGGAGGACTGCTTGTGTGGTAAAGACAAGTTTCTTATTTCTTAAGTAAAATAAAGGTTCACAATCATTTTTAAACAGATTTACCATTCCCTAAAAAATGATTTCTGCTATATTAAAATCTGGACTAATTCAGCAAGCAAAGCCAATCCAAGATAAAACCGATATAGCATTAAAAAATACATATATTACATGGAACTTGAACCAAGATATTAAAACTTTGTGCACAGACTTTGCCATTCATTCCCTTAAGAGTTCTAGAGAACTAGCAGAAGGCTCATGCTTGAGAGAACTTTATTTCAAGCTCAAGTAAATGGCACAGCTCAAAACTTAGTAATAACCCCTGAACTCCTCATAGCTAACAAGATATTCTGTGATTAATATTTTGGTTTGGACCAGGAGAGCATTTTGGTGGCACATTTTCAATCATCCTCCCCTCCTGCCACTTCTGCTCACATCACAGAGCACTCCCTCAGCAGATTAACTTTTATTGCTTCTGGATAAATTAAGCTTAAAGATAACCTCCAAATACTAACGGGTACTCTCAGTTCATGAGATGGGTTACGGTTAGTTGAAATCAACCCCACATTCGGTGTGGGCACTGGGTCCTCAGCCCTCTTTTGCTTAACCAGATTTGCTCCTACTGCGCTGCAATACTTGCTAATGCAGACAGTACCTGGCATACCAGGTGTTTTCAAGAATAACTAGTACCTTTCAAAAACACCACCAATCCATCCTGCTTTTTATCAATTGTATCTCCAGCAACGTGACTTGACGTTTACTTACTTTATATTGCTGCAAAGTCACCACAGGATCCCATTTAGTGGAATCTTCAAGTAATTCTTGCTTGGTTTTATTTTGCTTCAGTTTATAAAGCACCTGAGAGCTTTCTTGTATCCTACAAAACAGCTTTAAAAATACAAGGTAGACAGAGCTGATATAAGAGACACTGAAAATTAGTGAAACAGGAATTTTCAGCCCGATATCCAGATCTTATTGCTTGTGGCTTTTACAAAGTGTACATGTAGTGTATTATAGAATTGCTTCCTCACTCAAGGATAAGCAAGTCTAAATATTTTTACTCATTTCTCAGAGCCATCCTCTTTCCCTTCCCTCTGAACTTGCTGCATCTTTTCCTATCATCCATCTTAAATTCATACCTGGTCTTCCCTCCTACTCTCCTTCTTTTCTCTCATGTTCATCTTTCAGTTCCTTCCACTAAAAAAACTCCATTAATGCATATCCTTTTCATAACTTCAGGGTCTCTCACTAAGAGAGCTTGATTCAATTCAGGAGTATTTTCCCAGCTCTGTTCTTCCCCACTAATGCTATTTCCTTTCATATTAAGTTTCTTTTAACATAATATCCCCCTACTCTGCATCGAACAGAAGTGGAAAGAGTTGAGCTTCTGCTCTTCTGTTTCTGTCAAGCCTCTTCCCTCTTTTTTCCTTGTTAGTGTCCTGCTAATTATCTTCTCCCTTTACACTGCTCTCATTTACTACCCTCTTTCAGACTGCTCCTTGCGCATACATGGTTTCTTCACCCTACCCACATCTGCCTTCCAGGCTCGCCCAAGAGTCATTCTGGCAGCTTCTACAAAGTGGACACATTTGATCTTTGCAAATCAACTTGGTCTCAAGTACTGCAATTAACAGGTAACTTAAGTCAGTTCTTCCCATCAAAGACCCACCCGTTCTAATTGATCCACATTAAGCCACCATCTTCTTGACTCTCCCGTCCTTTCCACCATACTATCCTCTCATCTTCCTAACCAAGCACAGAACTAACATTCTCAGAAGCCGCTTCCACAACACCTCATTAGCCTTGACAGTTTTGCACTGCTTACGTGTCAAACACTAATACATAAACCATTCCCTTACCCTGTTTCTTTAACCGACTCACTGTTTTTTCTGAACATCTTTCTGGGCTCCCCTTTATTTACAAATCCCACCTGCAACTGCTGATCTTTTCTTCCAAAATCATTRTCAGTTCGCTGCCTCCTCTAGAACACCAAGGAGGCTAGTCTCATGTTTGTATGGTTAGTTTCCTATATACACCTTTTCCCATTGCCTCATTTGGGCTTCAGAACGGATCCCCATGAACATTCACAAAATTCTCCTTTTACAAATAACATCTTAAAACTCTCCTCTATCAACAAGTCCAAACTGACGAAGATGCCACTGTTTTAGCAGTACAACCACAGCATGTTGACCACAAGTGTTTCCTCATACTCCTCTGCCTTGTCTTTCCAGTCAGGCTGCTGAGTTTAAAATCAGTGACTGTGAATCTGCCTAACCTACAATAAGTCTAAATAAAAATGCACTTGGTCCACAACAAAGGCATCAAAAAATTCATTRCTTATTCTAGGTTGCATTGCTTTGAACGTGCCATAGCTAAACATCCACTGATGGGTTATCTAACACATTGTCACTCATGAGCAATCAGCATCTGTTATTGGATTTTTAAAAATCCTTCGTCCAAGAGCTTCTACTCTTTTAGATAAAAAAAACTCCACAGCATACTCAGCGTATTTTAAATGCTGCATGACTTCAAGAACAAAAAAAGCGCACATGGAATATTCGGAATATTCTGTTTAAATTTTATATTACCTTTCTCAGTAAAGAACACATCTGCTGCCTCACTGAAGGAGCCTGGCTATTCAAGTTGTAAGCAATAAAAAACTGAATGAGTTGCATTTCTTCTACAGACACAGTTTCCGTACTGCGACGGGTTTCACAAAGCAAACCTAAAGCATCAATGCAAACCTGAAAGAGAATCAAAATGTCAAACTCATCAGCAAAGCCACTTATAAATACACTTATGATTTAAAAGAATGCTGAGACAGTATTTAAGATTTCAACAGTTCTTCCAATCTGAAGYCACAAACACAGTTTTGCCCCTGTACCTGATTGTGCTGATGAACTAGGCCCTGCTTTATACAGTCAGGTGAGACGAGACCGCTGCCCATGATGTTCGAGAGCTCCAGGTGGCCGTGAGCCCTGGCTGCCCTCAGACAGGCCATCAGCGCCCCCAGAGCTCCTCTCCTGCTGCGAGAGCCTACGGGGATAAGCAGGTACAATCTGATTAACAGAGTCATCAATGTGCTCACAACTGCAAGGCTTCTCAAAAAGTGCATTTTTCCAAAGGATTGCACCTCCCTCGCTCTTTTTCTAGCTACCCCCACCAGACCATACATACCAAATCATAAACTTAACCACTTCTAAACTGCCTGGTTCAAGAAGGGTTTGTCTCAAGTACATTATAAAGACAGTCCTTGTGGTGTCTCACAAGACATAACTTGAGAATTACACTCAAATACGTTAAAGACTACATAAGAAGCATAAAACCTCTACTGACATATTAGGGAAAAAATAATCTATACAACTGTGTTTTTAAATCTGTGCTGTATGAGAAAGATGCAAGACAAAAATAGTTCTTTTTTTTCTTTTTTAAAAAAAGAATCCAAAGATGGGTAAGAAAATAAGGCACTTACAGAATGGTAACTATTTTGCTCATGTCATAAAGACACTCATTATTATAATGAATTTCACCTTGAATCACAGAGTCATCAGTGAACATCTGGAATGTCTCAAGTTAACTCTTACAAGAATAATAAACCAGAGATCAGGTTTTGGGGATCACTTTTTTTTTTTTTTTTTAAATCACTGTAACTGCAAATATTATATTTAATTCCTTACCAAGATTAGCACCAGCAGAAGCCTGAAGAATTTTAATCATGTATTTCAGGCTGTCAGGGCTACATTTCAGCAACTTAGGTAAATAGTAATCTATTATGTAAGTAGTTTGGTCATGATTCCCTTCACATAGTATTAAAAGAAGAGGAGAAACCCAGGTATCATGCCACTGCTCAATCCAGGTACTTTCTTGAAATCCTGAGGTGAACTGAACTTTATGATTTACAAACATGGTTTCCAGAAGATCACTAGCATACGGTGCAAGAGTTTGATCATTCATCACGTCCAAGATCTGCATTGGAATTGTTTGGTCCAACTGTAATACACTTTCAGTGCCCATGAACTCCACGAGACAGCCAAGAGAAGCGTATTTCCCTCTCACATGCCATTCCAGACTCAGTAAACGTTTTGTCAAGCCTGCGAAGAACAGGTCGGATTTTTCATCTGATCTGTTAATGGTCTTTTGGTGAATCTGAAGAAGATTCTTGAATATCAGTTTGGTTTGGTGTCTAACAGCATCCAGAGGGTGTTCCCAGTGCGTGTAAACATATTCCAGCAATTTCCTGGGTATGTCTGAATTCCCATTAAGATGGATTTTTAGATTTGGGGAACATGAAGCAAGGGCATCTAGCCCTGAATGAGTCCAAATAGCAAGGATTCTAGACAAAGAAGTGGCCATGCTGGATTCTTTCAACCTTTTAAAGAAAATAAAAAAAATAATAAAACAAACAAACGTTTACTATTTCCATTTGGTAACGTTATCATATATTTAAATAGCTATTTCAAAGCAATTATTATTCATACCAGTTTATCTGATACTAAAACCGTGAAAGATTGCAGAAAAAATGAGATCAATCTAATACAAAATAAAAGTGATAAGTTGTACGTTCAGTCACCGACCTTCCATTAACTGGTCACAGCTCAAACCACTTAAGTAAGCCAACTGACAGGCCAATGGCTCTTGAAAATAATACAAGTTTTTTCATTGCTACACAAAAACASAGAACTTGAGAACCCTACGTCTAAACTAAATCACAAACTTCTTGAAAAAACAGAAAATGGTTTCTGAGACATGAACAGGGTTAAACTCTATACACGTTTTATTTTCCTTTCCAATTGAGTCAAAAACCTATCAACTTATAAACAAAAAACAAAAAAAAAMCCCACAAATTATTCTATTAACTGGAAGACCCTGCTGCCCTCTCCTTCAGAGGGCAGAGATGTGATATCCTGAGTCTAATGATTATCCGTCTGAATGGCAACAATTCTGATAACACCAAAGAGATGGAAAACCAATCCCATTTAAAACACAGTAATTCATTTTAACATACAGGAGAAAGCTGTAGCTTACAATCATCTCTGCAATATTAAGACATTTTATTTTAAAACTTTTAAGAATTATTCTGAGTATCTTAAAGTACAAGATSTGCACAAAGTAGATTTATCACGCCGGAAAAACATCAAAGCTTCATTACACTAAGACTATGTAAGCCATGGAAACATACACGCAAAAGATAAAAATAGAAACAAAGTATAATCAAAACCCAGACTTACTCTGAACTCARAGACAGCAGGACTGATGCGATATCTAGCAAGAGTTTCTCTCCCTTTTCACCCATACTGCCACTCTTCCACTCCAGCATAGCCAGGGCTCCATGACAGAGAAAGAGGAGGACTGAGTCAGGGAGTTTTCCATTACAGAGGACCCCACAGTTGCTCACAAACCATGCTGGTAGCTCTGTAGCTCTCCCTGATCCAAGAATCAAGTCACTGACCTGTAATTGCAACACATAAAACATAAGACAGTATTTAAGCACAAAAGAAAAGTTTCACTGTGCATAACTGCAAATGTTAGAAAATCTAAACAAATTTCTCACAACTTTTCTTGCATCATTCGAAAAAATCTTGTCCTGCTATTTCAGTTAGAAGAGAACAAAGATGTTACACCCCAACAAAAGCCTTACACAGAAGCTGATGGGTCCTCCTATGCGTATGAAACCCTCTAAATGACACTGGGGGTGAGTGCCATGTCTCTGCAAGTCCCCTTTACACCTAGCAAGGGTACAGGCTTCAGAAAAGCCTGCTCTGCACACAACCCTTTTCACTTGTATGAGCCACACTGCAGAAGTACCCAGCAATACAGAGCAGTTAAGTCACTAGCTCAGACACGGGCAATTAAAGACCTTAGATGCTACTCAAGCACAACCTGAACACCTGTAAAATGGCTGACAGGACGTAGCCCCCTCCTCTCAACACTAAAAGTGAAACAGGAGGTGCCCATGACAGGGGTTACGATCAAAATACTTTGTGAGCGATTCTGGCACTGTAGAGTCCTCTTAGCCGATTCCTTCGTTACTGACATCACTTTGGTATTGACTGTAAAGGACTGAGGAGGGAGGGAGAGGGATTGAAGTACATGGAGGCTACTTAATAACTGGAAAAAACACGCAAAAGTAAAGCTGCCAGAAGTCTTTTAAGTATTAACAGCTTAAGACTATTAATACAATGACGCCCAAATATTTCATAGCCTTAAAAGAAAAAATACACTTACTAAGGAAGGTAACTTTTCAGGTGTCCCATACATAACTTTAGTGAAGAGAATGAAGGCCAGCCCTGAAGTCGTCTGAACAGTCTGCAGCAGAGTTTCTACACGGTAGACAAAGGAAAGACATTTTCGATTGAATTGCAGGAAGCTTTATATGCTAGAAATTATGCATTAAACTTACAAAGACAGTACTTAATTTTCATAGACTACTTTATGTTTACATAGTCACATATCTATAGCATACAAATGAATTCACAAACATTAACAAATTTATATTCTAGCACAACAGGAAAACTATTACCATCTTTCAACAGATAGCAAATTGGAACTGCACAGTCAGAAAAGGAGGACCATGGCAGAGCTTATTCATATTTATATTAAAACCTGCTGTACAGTAGCAACATCTGTATAAGAAAATAACACCAATGATTATTCCTGCTGGCACAATTCATATATACAAACTTTATAAACATCATCATTTGGCAAGTCTCAAAAGCCTTCTGTTAGCCTATAAAGTATTAACAATAGAATTTATTCATCTTGCAACAATAAACTACACCAAAATTATGCCCTATAAATCATGGCTTACACAAGACCCACTCCTCCTCCCAWCAACTTCAGCAGTTCAAATTCCATTTAAGATAAAAAAAAAAGTTTTTCCATACATAAACTGTATTTACTAAAAAGACAGTAAAAGTGACCGAACAAACAAATTCTCACTGTTCTTGAGTATTACTAATCTCACCATCCATTAGAAAGTTTGTGGAGCTTTTCAGTAAGCTGCACATGCTTTGCCAAATATAACAGTCAGGATTTTTCAAAAGATTTCTCTGAATATTTTCTTGCAGTTTCTGCAGAAGCATCATTGAAACTTTAATAGCCACCAACAAGTCGTGCATCAGCCGGGTCTGAACAATACGATTTCCACTGTTCTTTCTGGAAAGAAAGCACACATACATGTAAGAAAACTAAATGTAAGCTAACCTTCTCAAAACCCACAGAAAACCACATTTTGCCACTTCCAGATAAAATTAGCAGTAAAMTAATTTAAGGCTTGATGGACCAGATGTGTAATTAGAGGAAAAATAAGGAGACTCAAGGACAGTGTTTTAAAAGGAAGTTAAAATTAGTGACAAATTTTACTCCAGTTTCTACAGCTCCCCATGACAATCTCTTCTCCCTCTTCATCCCACCAGAACAAAGAACTCTTGCAGAAACTGAAGACTGGGGATTGAACATAGTGCCTGTCCTTGTGCACTTTCTGAAAGAGTTCCTCCAAGGGCAAACCCAAGTGCTATCAAAGTGAAATTCCATATTAAAATTTTCTTGCCAGAAGGTAATGAAAACAGGTAAAATACAGCTTACAGTGAATTCACTTGCCTGTTTTCTTCTTGTATGTCAAGCAGAGATTTCTGCAGAAACTGAAGAACTAGTGAAAATAATTATAGTACAACTTTATTTAAAAGAGAAATAGAACAGCATTCCAACAAAGCAATCACTCAAAATAAAGTTATCCAATCACTCAAAATAAAGTTATCCATATAGTGGTGTTTCTTTCACTACATTAAAATAAATATAAACACACATACACAGACACCCTCTGAAAATTCAGTATAGACTCAGAGGAGCAATTCTAAATCAAAATCTCAAGTTATTTTGCAACAGCCTAATACAAAAGGTTCCAACCCACTTGGCCGAATCCTGCGAGGTACTGAGAGTTCTGATGCGCTGCAGACCGATTCAGTGTCTCTGAATCAGCAAGCTCAATATTACACCACTTTACTGGCAGATCAGACTCCTACAAAAATATTGCCAAATAGAATATGTAATCACAGCACACCCTGGCTTGCTCTGGTCAAGAGTGTTAATAGTTCAGTGCTATCACATTCAACTCCACTATGGGACATATAGCAGAGAATATACAAGCTAATAGCAACTCCAACAGCCCTTTAAGAATCACTCACTAGCACTTTTTCAGATTTCTACCTCTTTGGCTGCTCAGTAAAGCAAGTTTCAGCTCTGAATATTAAAGACAAAGGAAAAAATCCATGATAAAAAAGGGGAACAGAAAAGACACTCTGTCAACTCAAACAGTCTTCAAATACTGCTTAGAGTGCTAAATACCTAACAGTACATGTTAATAGAAACGACACAAGAAGCGTCTACATCAGTTCTAGTAGATTTTAACATTTTATGTCCACCTCTCACACTTCTACTTCSTACCCAAAATAATATAAAACCAAATTTATTTTAGGATAAATATGACTTTACCTTCTTTGAATAGGTTCTTAATGCTTGCTTTACCTGGAAGAGAAAAAAAAAAGTAAATTTTAACTCGTATGTAGTTGCCAAAGACTCTGTTCATCTTATGTGGAAAACTTTTATCATCACTACTGTTAGATACAGCACCAAGATGCAAAACAGAGCAAGTTAAAACAAAAAATGATACCCCACATCATACCTAGACTGAAGTCTTCCATACAAGAAACAAGGTTGTCCAATACTTTCCTATACAAATATATATCTGTGGTTTTCAGTTCTTCTCTAAGGCAGCACACAAAGCTCTGTATAGCTTCGGTCATAAGCTGTTCAGGAAGACAATTCAGTGAACTGCAACAATAAGAAAGAGCATAATCAGCTCTACCAAACTAAAGGTCAAATATACACTTCACAGAGCTGTTGGCTCCTGCATGCAGAAGGACGCACTCTCCTTGTGGCTTGTTCAAATGCAAAGACCCGCTACACCTGTCAGAATATAGGACTGAGGCTCTAGAGCCAAAAAAATAAACTAAACTAAAGTCAAGAGCAAAACTAAAACCAAATCTTTGCAAAGACCAACACCATGTTTACAAGCATGCCCCTTTGGTTTCACGGTCAGAAGATTAAATGTGTACTCTTCAAAGCATACAGAAGGAGGCTGCAGAAATATCCACATACCTTTTTTCTTTTGTCTCTGGAGCACTTAAAGGACACAAAACCACTTAGAAATCTCCTTTGTTATAATGTTCTACACTCCTTCTTATCCCAAAATACATACACTTTTTTTAAAGCATACTATTAGTTCAAGAAAGTGAAACGCTCTACTATCAGAAAATTTACTACTATCAAAAACTTAATTGCTAGAGAAATAAGGACAAGAAATCAGAGTTAAGCCRTGAACTGCCTTCTCCTTTACATGACAAAAAGTTTCAGCTTTGACAAACTGAAGTATTTTAAATTTCTATTTCAATATTATATACTAAAACTCAAAAGTGATAAACTGCTTTGACTTTTCAAGTAATACAACATTAAAATAATGCTTCACTTCAAAGATTTAAGGAAGCACTTAAAGAGTTTTAATAAAGCACGAAAGAAAACACATCTGCCTATCAATAACACTGAATTCCATTAAACTGCAGCAATTTGAAGTATGCAATAAATCAGTGATGTCTGTTCCAGTTTCAACTAATCCTAGATAAGCAGACCATTTAAAAAATAAATAAAAACACTATCCTACCTTTGTAGAACTTTTTTCAAGGGATTCTTCACACTCAGTGAAAAATATATCTCTCCCAAAATATCCAAACTAGCCTTAACCATGGGATCAGATGCAGACTTCTGATCCATCTTCTTCAGGCAAGGCATAATCTATAATCAATAGAACACAGTATCAACAAAAACTGCACATACCCTCATCAGTAGCAGAGCAGAATTCCAGTTAATACAACCACACCAGGCAACTCTGTCTCCTGCTTTTGACAGCCTCCTTAGTTTCAGAYATTGGATAAAGTTGCAAGAAATCTCTGCCAGCACAACTCAGCACATGAAGAACTGAAAACAGGAGTTGATTTCCAGAGAGGCACCATACACTTATTCTAAATAACTGCAACCCTTACTGTAATAAGTACTTAAACTACATTTCCACTTAACGTACCTGTCACAATATCAATGGCTTTTTCTAGGGTTCCAGTAATATTTAAAACTGTAAGCCCTATAAACAGCGTGCATGATGTATTCTTTGTTCCAAGAGACCACACTGACTTAGACTGCTGCAATCTTACCTGTTTAATGTACTGAATCTGCTGGATGCCATTGCTCAGCTGGGCACAGTGCAGAAGCAGCGATGCCAGATTTTGCTCCTCAGACCCTGTAAACACTACATTGGGAGGAAAAAAAAAAACCACAAAAACAAACAAAAAAAACACTCATTTTAGAAAGGAATTACAATAAGCAGTATAAATTTACAATAAGGTCCCTCTGCTAATTCTTCATTTTCCCTGCTGCAGTAAAGCTACTGATACCACCAACTTAAGTCTTACTAAAAAGATCTCRAGTTTATAAGACTATATACACCCACATGTAATCTAAGTAAACTCTTACACAGAAATTACACACAGTCTTGAAAACATGTAACTTCATGCATATCTAACCTGAAGCTAGCTTTACCTGTTTATGAGGTTCATCTGTCATAGAGAAAAAAGTATTAACTATGTCTTAGAGAAACTGTAATTCAACCAAATTATGAACTACTAAACAATAACTAAATACTAAACAGATTTACAGYCAATTACTAGACTTTAGAGAAGTCACCAAACCGCATACCTCTCAACTCTTGCTAAACTAACCAACCTCAGAAAGAAACCCGGCCTGTTCCAGGACTTTCTATCTGCTCAGTGAAGATAATTCCAAAAATTGGACTGGTTTTGCCCATTGTCAAAAACAAYAGACTAAGTAACCTCAGATCTTAATACAAAGGGGCAAGTAATTTCATCTCATCCTGTAAATGAGGAACTCACAGCAAGATTAGCACTCAGATCTTTTACCACTAATTCTGAATTTGGAAGGTGAGGGTTTGTTTTTTTTTTTCCTTAAATATGTATCATTGAAAATTTGTATCAGAACACAAATAGTGATGTAAAGCAAGTGCACTTGACCAATACTTCTAAATGAAATAAACTACAGTTTTTGTAGTTGTACAGTTTTGGGAAAACTCACGTATTAGGCTTCATCTACCTTAGAGTTTTACACACACACTGGAGAAGTCCCTAGCGTTTTCTTCCATGGGCCTAGTCCCTCCATTCACTTCTGACCAATGACACCAAAATCACATATGAAAATAAAACAAATGCAGTAGAGAGACAGAAGTAGAGTGTTATCACATATATTAAGGCTACTACTTGGAGTATGGCTCATTTATATGCCTGGGAAAAACAAATACTTACTCCTAAGTTTTTCAAGCTGTTGCTCATCAAGAAAGAATGCATCCACCTGAATTTCTTTTTTCTTCTTTAGAACCATTTTTGGTTGTTTGAGGGACACCTGAACAAAATAAATAAAGCTACATATACATATATATAAACACACATATATTTTATAATTTATAATTACACACATATATTTATAATTTATTTATAATATATAATTACACACATATATTTATAATTTAAAGGTATATTTACAAATACTTCCCAGAATAGTGGCCTTTTCATTGTCCTGATGTGATATTTATTCCATTACTGTATAATTACTGCTATTTTTCAACAAGAGTAGCTCACTTTCATGCAATTTGTCCAAAATTCACCAATGCTTCATGCCACAAGATAGAAAAAAAAAGTGATTTCAATACTTGGGGTTGAATGGCAAATGGGAGCTTTTACTTAAAACATCACATAGCTTAAGATATGACCCTGGATCACAGTTTGAAAGTAGGACATGGATGCCTTGGAATGACACCACCAAACTGCAGTCAGCCTGTTTCACCTACTCTTGCATTTGAGACTTATCTACCCCATATTACAGCCCATATTATTTATATGTAAAACTGCCAATACAAGGCAAGTCACTTTGGGGTTTTGTTTGTTCTCTCACACGGCAAGGATTTCTGCCCTCACAACACGGGATGCTACAAACGGCACCTTCCAAAGCTGACGGAAACCCCACACGGGCTAGGGCGGCTCTGCCGCCTGCCGCTCCGCATCCCTCCAGAGCGACGGCCTCGAGGGCGCAGGGCCCGGCCCGGCCCGGCCCCGCGGCGGCCTCGGCCCCTCCGCACGGCGCGGGCACCGCGGACACCCCCCACCCGCGGCCAGCGGGCGCAGGGCCGGGCACCGGAGCCCCGGGCGGGCCAGGGGCCGCGCGGCGCCCGCAGCACGGGCGCCGAGCGGAGCGCGGGCGGCAGCGCGGCCCCCGCGAGCCGCGGCCTGCTCGCACTGCGGCGGCGGAGGGGAAGGCGCCGTTTCGCGCAGCCGCCCCGCGGTGTCCGGCGCCGAAACCCGCACGCCCAAAAGCGCGGCCCGCTCCGGCTGCCGCCCCCGCGCTGCCCAGCGGCGCGGGCCCCAACGGCCGCAACCGCCGCGCAGGCCACGGGGGCCCCGGGAGGCGGCGCCGCCCGCCCCGGCCCGGCCCCCGGAGCCTCCCGCCGGCGGCGCCGCTGCCCGCGCCTGGGGCCATGGCGGCGCCTCGGTCGGGAAAGGGCTGCACGGAGGGAGCCGCTTGGATCCCCCCTTCGCCCCTTTCCCCTTCCTTGCTATTTTTTTTTTCCCCTGAGCTTTGTTTCAGATTAGAGCCTCTCCGAGGCTCGCCTTTCACGGCTGCCCTGAGCCCTCTCCCGAGGATAAGTCAAGAGACAAGCACTAACTCATGAGCAGCAGAGACGGTCCTTCCCCCTGCACGAGGCATATCCAGCCACGGGGGAATCCTGCGCATGTTCTGGAAGGGGCTGTTGTAAGACGCCAGGACAACAYGGTTGTCCTGTTTCAGAGAAAACTTATTAAATAACAAAATTTAGCAGGAAAAAAAAGGGGGAGGGAACAGAAACATTCCTTGGCTTTGCCTGTCAGAAAATTTCACAGCAATCCCAAATCCCAAAGTGCCTGGATCCAGGGACTGCCCCTTCACCACTCCCAACAGCAGTGGCCAAAGGAACTGGGAAAGGTTTACTYACATCAAAACACATAGAAAAAGAAATGTATTTTCTGTTGGCTGGTTGATTTTCCCTCTCTTTTCAGTTGCTGGAACACAAACATGGCTACTTGGTGCTGTGTATCACAAGGACCTGCTTAAAATGCTGGATCATCTGCTCCAGCCAGATAAATGCAGACTGATTGATTCCCTTCATGTATATATGATGTAGCCCTCTAGCCTTATACAGTGCATCCTCATTTAAGGCAAGTCAAGTCTCCAAAAGGCTAATTTTTCATTATGCTCAACCCCCATAATCCCCTTTCAGGCCTTCTCAGCCAACCTCTTCTCATTATTTTCATATTCAACTTCTCCTACCCAATTAATACCCATTTAGGGCTCCTGCTGCATATAGTCTAGCTAATCTTCCATCTCCCTAGGGAAAAGCTTCTAGTAACTTCCTGCCTTTCCAAGGACCTTTCCTTTACTCTCCCCATCACTTTTATTCCTCTTAGAGGAAGCATCGCTGCTTGAAGAACCTACACCGAGTAGCAAAGAATTCTCTCTGTAAAGCTAAGGTGATTTCAAGAAACGAAACAAGTGTGCAACACCTGTGCAGTYTAACTGCTCCAGTTCCCAAGTGTGCTAAGTTTCCAGTAACCAAAATAATTTATTTAGAACTAGCTCACAAACCACTGTAAAAAAAGCACGTTCATGCAGCTCCAAACACATCAGTATCACTGAGCGGCTAACTGGGCATGAGTAATTTAGGCTAAAAAGACAAGTCACACTGTTTTCATAATTTCTGTTCTGCTGGCAATGAGCAACAGGCCCTTGAATTACTGGTGTCTTTTCTCTGCTGTGTCCTGCTGGGTGCCTGAAGCCAGCAATCTTGCTGTGAGCAAAGCCCGATCAGATTATTAGAAATTGCTGAGAAGAAAATAATTGAGAATTAATAACACAAAATATAATTAATCACTAAATCTACCTGCAATTTGAATGTTACGTGCAGYATTCATCTCTCCAAAAAGAACAGTCCTGTTGCACAGCCCTTCAGCAGGGCAGGTAGGAGTGACTAAAAGCACTGAACAACTTCTCTATTAAGACAGATCACAGAGCAGGAATAAGGTAAGAAATTTTCAAATTTCCAAACCATTTTTCACTGTCTCTTCTGGGACTGAAATTATGGGGCATCAAAGTAAACAAGCATTAACAACTGACAGCCAAGAAACCAGATACCAGGTTAAATGGACCCTTAGTCTTATTTGGTACTGCCATTTTTACTGCAGGGCCCAAACTTGTTTCTGCAATTCATCAAGAGCTGTTCTAAGCCTGCTGCATTTGTCCTCACAGACTCCACTGATTTGACCAACAGCTACTGGTACAAATTCATCTCAAATGATATATTTCAAACAGAATTTCCAAAATTTCTGTTGGAAAAATTCAGTCTTAACCTATAAGCTTTTTGAACTTATGTCTATATACAGTAAATAAGTGGACTTGCAGAATATTTTATATCTTAAGTTTAACAAATATATGATCCAATTACCACTTTAAAACTCTTAAAAAAAAAACTGATTATTCAGAGCAATATAAAATTTTACCACTTTGTGGCGCCAAACAATTAAAAAGAGTTTGTGTTTTCAAAGGAAAACCATGAACTTTCTCATAAAGCGTATTTTTCTTATGCAGAAAAAGCCTTTACTAATAACTGGAATAACCATAAAGTCTTTCATTCARAGATCTCAAAACACTGTACAAATACTAGAGGCTATTTAAAAAATATTCCATTTTTGCACCACTGAAATTAAAAGTTACAACACTATACGATATGTCATGATAATAGCACAAGTAATAGGAATTATGTTTCTCCCTTCCGTTTCTCCACTCTTTTAATTAATTCTAATAGTAACTAGAGAATATTTTTTATTTCACTGTTTTATATTGTGCCTAGCATGAACAATGTTGTAGAATYTTTGTCCTACTGAAATTCTAAAGTACATATATATGATTCTTAAAAAAAAAAAAGTCCACAAAGAAGTGATCCTACAGAAAATCTTAGTACTAAGGTTTTATAGCCACAAGGAACCTTTTGGAATATATTTTGTGCTTGTAGGCAGAGTACAAGTCCAACATATATGAACTTAAAAACAATCCTCATGTTTACCTATGTGAAAGAGAACAAGGAAAAGCTCAGTTTGTCAGAACAGTGATAACATTCTGATTCAACATGTCAGAATCACATTCTACATGAAAGKCTCATAAAAAACAATATTACCTTCTAGTACAGCTTTGCTAATAACTCAGCTATCTCTGAAACARAGCAATAGAGTTAGTGAAGTTTTCAAGCTCTGCATACTACTGGCATCCCCTATTTGAATSAGGTGCTTTGAAATGCAACAATTAGAACACAGGTATTATCAATTAATGCAGCAATTAGAAATCAGGTATTATCAATTAATAAGAAGACCAGAAATTTAAAACTTGCTTTCTTTTGCTGAAGTTCCATTATRAACAATAAAGCCATATGAAATACTCAGCTTCAGGGAAACATCTATTTCTTTGAGGAAGGGTATTCTTTTTGAGTATTTCCTACAATGCCATTAAGCTGTAATAGCTTTATAGTGTTTTATATTTAATTTAGCTTATTTCTGTAACAATGTAGCTAATAGAGAAGGCTATTCAGGGTCCAAATATCTGGTATTATGGTTAGCTTCTACAATATACTGTGCAGTACCAATATTTTTGTCATTTTTCTGCACATTTATAAGACTGCATCTCTGATTTATTGTTGCTTAAATTATTTGCTTCCATTAGTGACAACTCCAATGAGAAAAGTATCTCTTCATGAGACTTTTTGTGTGTACTTTATTTTTTTTCTGCCTGCCTCATTTCTTTGCTTTAGGGATTTGTAACTTTTCTGTGGATATTTTATTTACAGAACAAGGCTGTGTTCTCAGTACAGCCTAATGCCTATYTTTGCTCTATCTGTTCCTTTGGGCAACCAAACACCTACACACATACACCTACATTCAAGTCCAAAGATCACTATTCCTTCTTCCAAAACACTTTTTCATGCCTCTTTGCCTATCAAAATTGAGAGGTCTGTGACTGCAGAGTACTTTTATTTTCTGAAGCCAAAGAAAATGTCAATCCACAAATTGCAGARAAAGAAACACTCACTGAGGGAAGTCTTTGCTCTACCTCTTGYGGTCTAAGCACATCGCTCCTGTAGTCTTTGTTTTCCCTTAGCTTGGTGCATTCTAAACTCAAATGCTCCCTGCTGTGTTGGGCACGTACAAAGACAACAAATACTAATCTTATTATCACTCTGCATATAATTTGTTTGGAATAAAATKATTTTTCTATTCTTCTAGCTAAATCTGTTAAACTAAAGAGTATATCCTTYGTGCATTTGTTTTCAGCACAGAACATTCTATACAGAAAGCACAAAATGTTATACTAGGGAGAAAAATAGATTTCTTGCTATTCCTGTAAGCATATTTTTACTAAAATGTCAGTAACTAGTATTTAAAAATACACAAGATACTTAGGAAGGTTGCTTGAATACTTGATATCACTGCAAGCAAAGKGAAAACCGAAGGCCATAGTGAGCTGAATAGAAAAAAATGAAGTTGTAGATGTAGAGTTAGGAAATATTTTAACTTTTAAATTAGTTTTTCCTCCCCCAYGCACAAGAGAAGTGCCCCTTTCCTGACCCCTCTCCTGTGAAAGAGCACCTGAAAGCACTCTAGACCGTAACCTGGATGGAACATATTCCCTGCACGCCAGTCCCTGCTATGGAAGGGGCGCACAAGGACGATTCCTGGTCCCTGCACTAGCTGCTTCTCCCAGGTCCTGGTTAAGCTCCAGGAGGCATCCAGAACTCGAGCCTGGAGAGCGGGGTCGGGGCTGCCCTCAGCTGGGGGCTGTGTCTGTCGCCACGAGCAGCGGCGCCTGCTGCTCTGCCCGCGGGGCTGCCGCAGGACCGAGAGGCGAAACTCGGCCCCCAACACCCCAGCGAGGGGCTCAGCTCCTCACGGGGCCGAGCCTTGCCTTCACCCGGCACAACGGGCCGMCAAAAAATAATAAAAGTGCGATTTACACCGCACTAAATCCTGTTAATGTAAACGGCGCTGAAGGCCGGAGCTGAGAGGCTTCGAGACGGGGGATACTGCTCGCTCATGAGGGCGCGCTGCGGAAAACGCGCGGTTCACGGAGCAGAGCTTAGCGGCGCAGGACGCAGCACACGGCGGGGAGGGCACCCGCCCGCAGGCGGCGGCGCCCGCAGGCCGCGGGGCTCGGCAGGCCCCGCCCGGGCGCCGCCGGGGGCGGCCCCGCTCCTCAGTGGCCGCGGCGGCCGTCGCTCAGGCGGGCGCGGGCGGCTCGCCGCCGCGATGGAGGGGCGGGCGCCGGGGCCGCGGGCAGCGCCGGCCCGCGGCGCGCAGAGCCCGCTCGGCGCCGCGCGCGGGAGCCGCCGCCTCCGCCGCCCCCGGCCCGGCCAGGTTTGAGCGCGCGCCCTTCGCCCCCGGCCCCGCGCGCGCCCCCGCGCTCACAGAACGGGAGGGGAGGGGGGCGGCGAGGCGCGTCACGCGTGGCGTCACGCCCCCGCTGCGTGACGTCACACCTCCGCTGCGTGGCGTCACGCCCCCGCTGCGTGGCGTCACGCGGCAGGCGAGGCTGTGCTCCGTTGAGCTCCCCGAGGGCTTCCGTGGGTGCCCTGGCCATGCCCGTGTGATCCCGACCGCCCCGTGGGTATAAGAAACCTTGGAGCAGAAGTTAATCCGGATTGGGGTGTCTTTCCCACATATYCATGCTCCCGGCTCTCCAGCTCTTCTCGTCCTAACGTGTTACCCTGCGTGCCGGCACGCACCTCATGTCCCCTAGTCCCCACCGCCTTGGTTCTTGGGGGGAACTGCCTTCCCCCTGACTAGGAGAAAAACTCACAATAAAGCAGATTTTGGAGGAAGTTTTAAGTATCTTGAGTTACAGCTCTTGTTGAGCCTAGAATCGCGCAAAATGAGTCAAACGGAAAATAAAGTTAGCAGTGTTTGTTCATGACTCAGGGCCCTGGGCAGTGAGGGCCCGGAGAAGGGCTTCCTTGATTCCCAAACAGGAGCACTTTGTGTCCTCTCCCAGGTGACCCGTGTGGTTCCAAAATAACCTCAAGTGCTGTGTTTGGGTGGAACGGGTGGAAGTCCGGAGCTGGGAACTTGGGASAAATGGTCCGAATGTCTCAGGGACRGGATAATGTTTTGGGATGGCGCTTTGTCCTGTGGAGAACTCAACCAGTACAGCTTTGCCAACCCATTTGCAGCGGAACAGAAGGATTTATCCCACTTTCCCCAGTGGGAAAAGGACATACGGAACAGAGAGTGGAAAATATTTAGTTAAAACATTGCTTTTTTTGATAAAAGCCAAGGAAAACACTGGCAGTGTGATAAGGAGTATGTAAATTCCTTAGCACACTTCACAAAACTGGAATATTGTCCCCTCCTTCCTCTTGAAGAGCGTTTTGATAATTTCCAAGACGCTTGCAAAAAGTAGGAAATTATTTCAGTCCTTTTGGGGAGAATGTGACATTCTGACATCTGGAAGCCTAGGAAGAGATTTATAAACTTTAAGAAAAATGAAAAAGAAGAGTTAATCTTTCCAGACTTGTCAGACTTGTCTCGATTAATTTTTGATGGCATAATTAGAACTTAGCATTTTAATATGTGCTTTTTTTAGTTTACTCTTCAAAAGATATTATTTAACCAAGAGGAAAAAAAAAATAGGAGGGTTTTTGGAGTGGGAACTGGAGCAGGAAACAGGGGGGGACTTTGTGTAGGTTCGAGTAGGTTCGAGTGATTCAGAATACCCTATTAAGCCTGAAGACATGAACTCATTTTTTTTTTCCCTCCCTTGAGGAATCAAGTGAGAAACAGGAAGTCATTGATTCAAAGTAAGATCACTCACTCTGCAATTGTAAACAGCGTATTATGTGCCTGTAAATATTTCTAGAACCCATTGGCTTTTTGGAAAATATGAAGTAAATTATTATAAACTCTTAGCAAACAACCCACAAGAAAAGGAGTTATTTTCTAACTTTCTATCTGCAGTGTTTATACAGCAGAATATTAATTTGCTTGGACGTTGAGAAAC